CATGTGGACAAAAGAGATCACGCATTCCTAATGCCAAACCCTACTTTTCATAAATCCAGTTTTGTAAACAATAGAAATGGAAAATTGAATTCCAAACCTCACGTACGGTACACGACAACTTCGGATGTAGCGGTTCAAAGAGAACAGCGATCGCAAGTCCAGAATACCATCCGCCAACCAATACAGCATTACATGTCCTCTCCAAACCATCGATTAAGCATTTCGCCGCAGCAGAAGCAGCAACAGGTACAGCAGCAAAGGCAGAATTATCAGTTGCAAAAGCAACCCCAGTTTCTACTCCAAACCCAGCAGCACTCAATGAAACCACAATCTCGACAACACGTTTGGAATCAAAAACCATCACATCGTATGACACAACACTTGGCGCAACAGCAGTTTCCACCACGTTTGGCAAAGCAAATATCATCACATCACTCTACGAAGCAGCATTCCCAAGAGCATCTAACGCACTTGGCCCAGCACTCAGTGCGGCAACTACCGCGACAATATATAGTGCAGCAGCACGAACAACATTCAATCACGCACCACCAGACACAGCAATCATTCGAGGCTTATTTACTCTCACAGAGCCAGCAAAGGGGATTTCATCAGTCACCTCGACATCAAAAGTCTTGGGTAAACACCTGAAAACACTCCAATGAACGAAGCAGCTATCGTTCGAAACTCCCGAACCACTTTGATCGTCAGCAATGGAAACATCACCATGAAGGGTCAACTCCAAAGGTAGCTTTTACGCTTAGAGCATCTTATCATTTTATCACTCACACCGATCATCGATCACCTACTTCCAGCATTACCAGAATGTCCGACTAGATCTTGTCAAGTAGAGCAATCACTATCTTAAACAAGTCCATATGGTAGAATTCCTGTTCGTCTCTTTGCGTCGTTCGATCCATTGTTCTCCTTTTATTAGTGATGGTTACTCTCCCTCTTAGTTGTATATATTTTATTTGTATATTCTTTAAGCAATTTATTTCCTTTTATATTCGTTGTTAATCTTAGTTTTATAAATATAAGTGCCAACATTTTTTATTTTGTTTAACCAATTGTGTTTTGTTTAACCAATTTTGTTATTTTGACCAATCAAAGTGCGATTATTTTCTTTTTATATTTTGTTTACAATTACCATTAACTTCCTTAATTAATCATGATTGCTTATTTTAATTTCATCAAACAAGATGACAAGCTTTTTTATTTTGTATTACCAAATTTGTATTAGCACATCACAGCACTATGTTACGCTTTTTGTTTTCATTGTAAATTAGCGTAGCTTAATTTAGGTGGGCGGCTTGTTTAGGGAACACATCAAACTTGATATTTGAATTAAATCAAGTAAGCACAACACAGCTGTTATGCTGCATATATACCTCAGTCATTGTTGTGACGCCGCCATTGTTGATGTGTAGACGCTCACGTACCGTGAGAGATTGACTAGACTGGCCAGTTGAAAATTTTGTGATTCCACTGATTTATTAAACATGGAGTAAAACACTACAGCGGCCGGCAAGGGGCCAAGAAAGGAAGAGAGGGAAGATGAACGAGAAGACTGGCACAACAAGAAAAAGAAAAATTGCAAGTATCCCAACCCACCTATATTTAACCTCCTTATAAAATACATGCAATAAAATATAGCAATCAATTTTACTCATTCACTTCTTTAATTCTTTAACTCCTCTAATTTTACAGTCCACAGCAATAAATTTTCACCAGCTCTCAAAGCAAAATTATTATGACAATATCCCTGACAGTCTTGGAAGGGATTGGCAAAGTAAACTAAACACAAGGTGTAGAACCTTCGACATCTTATTCCTGCTTACATTACTGACCCAAAGTGCCCTTTATATATTTTCCAATTTTTTAAATTTAAGTTTTGCGAATCTAGACGATCCTGTAAAAAATCCTACATAATACAAACTTAAAAGATTACATCTTGCCTAAATAAAAACAATAACAAATATCTGGTGTGTCCACTCACACGACTTTCCTATCTATTTCAGAAAAGTTTTTATTCTTTATCTATGTTCATGAAGAAACAAAAAAAAAAAAAAAAGAAATGAACTAGATTAATTTTCTTGAAAATTGATCAAAGAAAAGATTTGATTACATTTTATTTAATAAACTAAAGCAATGTAAACAGGCGTAAGGTAGATCAGTGCGAAAATTTCAATACTCTCTAATATTGCTGATCAAAAACTTTTTTCCATAGCTTAGTATTGTCAAACAATAATTTCTGTTAAAAGTAGAGGAAATAGTGAAGATTGTGTGATGCAGGCAACAAATTTTCTTACTTTCACTTAGTCATCTTTTTTCTCTCATTCACCACTTTCTGATACCAGGATATGAACCCGTAATCTTACATTGGAAATTGAATAGCTGTAACTTCGTTAATAGTTGTCCAAAATGAACGATTTTTATATAGTTTTTTAGAGAATTTCATTACCTTTCAAAACTCAGGGGGCTCTGAAATGTATAGATCCGTCGAAAACCGCAAATCGCAAATTTGACCCGATTGCAATACTTTCCTTACCTAGTATAGGTAGAAAAGGAAAAAAGGAAAAGAAAAAGAATAATGAAAACATTTCTTAAAAATGCTACAAACAAAACAAATAAACCTATATACAAAACAATTATAACTATGAAAAGATACTTAAAATTATGTACAGTGGTAAAACATTATAAATTTAAACTTAAACAAAAATAAATAAAAAATACATTAAGTTCTTCTTTAAAATAAGTTCTATGTTTCTGCTAAAAAAAAGCAAATCTGACAAATTAAAATTCCTGAGTATTTAAATTATGGTTAATATATGAATACATCATGATCATTTGTTAACCTAACTACAGATACAAATTTAATTATATAAAAAAATTAAATAAAACAAACAATAGATACATTCATTGGCACCAAGAGTTGGAAACTCTTGTTGTGTCCAAAGCAAAGAACATTACTAATATTTGTATAATGCCAGAAGGTTAGTAGGTATCTCACTGTTTTTGAGACAGAAATTAGAATAGGAGAGTTTAGAATGTGGATGTGGAGGGGCACTTTACAACATCATCTAAAAAGAACTAAATAATTCGTGCAAACTTTGGAAAATTCCACGCAACCAAGACAAATTATTGCACATTAATTTCACTCTTCGACATGAACTACCCATCTTATTTACATATATCAGTCAGGCATTTGACTGAAGGATGGCATGGTGCCCACTTATCAATAAAAAAATGAAAATGTTAAACTTTTCAAAGATTATTTTACTTACTTCTTTCAAGACTTTAAAAATAAATTTAAAACTGAAACGGTACACTTTCTTTTGTCTAATTAAATCCATTTGGACCGGTGTTTCATTCATATATGGGACAGCCAAAAGGAAAACTATAAAATTTTTAATCAAAAACTATAACTGAAACCCCAAGGTACATCACAAAAATTACTTTACCTAGAGACCTTCACATGCTAACAGTTAACGACCACATACACAAGTAATGCCTACATAATAATTTATGCATTTGTAACTTATTATTTGGAATAATAAATGAATAATAGTTGAATAGTTTGTTGCTGATTATTTGTTGATAGTTATAAATCTGTTAAATTATCGCAAACCAACAGTTTTATTTAAAAAAAATAGTAGCATGTGTATAGCTCGTTTTTGTGTACGTTTCATATTATTCTTGTAATAGTTTCCTATTGTTTGGATCATAGGGTTTTCCTACGTTGGTTTGAGCTCAAAAAAGCTTTATGTTTTAAAATAAATATATTGTTTTATAGTTAGAAGCTGCAATAACATAAAATAAGTAATCTTTCAGTGATTACAAAAGCTAAAATTTCCTGTAGATATATCTATCTGTATATATATACGTTCAATGTTTATAAATATTGAATATAAATATGCCTACTTTTCATTTGTTGTTTTGATTTATTTTTGTTTATATATATATATATATATATATATATATATATATTACTCTATTGTTTTTTAATATTTAATTTATTTGAATTTTTTCTGAATATATTTTAAGTGGAAGTTTGCCGTATATTGTCCCAACGAATGACATTCCTCTTCTAGCGACGAAAGCATTGAAATAGAGAGACTGTTAGAGGAGTGTTTAAATTAAATAATAAATCAGAGAGATTTATTGGCCAAGAGAGAGTGGATCAGAATGGCGCTTAATTACTAAACCATCTCTAACTATAAATTAAATGCACTCTCTCATCTTATTTTTCAACTGATAAATAACTTAATATTTTATTTATTTAAATTAGCCAATAATACTTATATTGTATTTTTATTATTAATTCATTGGAATTTATATTTACAGTTTTCATTCTTTTGTTGTTTAAATTCTTTAATAAGTAATATTATTTTATGTCACAATTAAGTAGATTAGTAATAGTGATTTACGAGTTCATTCACACAATAAATAAAAAGAAATTAAATAAAACAACGGAAAAATAGTAATACTTAAATTATATATATATAAAGAGGTTTTTGAAAATAAAGTATAGTGTAGAATATTCGGACCGAAGAAAGATGAATGAGTTAACCGGAGAGTTCAGAAGGTTGCACAACGCCGAATTGCGTGAACTGTATCCAGTTAATATAATTGAGGTGATTACATTGCGGAGAATCAAATGGACATGTAATATAGTTGGGCGTGGTAACGAAAGAATTCCTAAAAGGTTGATATTAGCTGTACTGAATGGTAAATGTCCGAGGGGTAGGCCGGATGGGAAGGTGGGAAATTGCGTTAAAGCCGTTCTGAAGGGACTGGGTTTGGACGGCGAACGGTGGAGGGAGGTGTGTAATAAGCGATTGGTGGTGTCGGCATCGAACCTCCGGTTCCACTAAGCCTTTTATTAATATCATTTTATTTAAAAGGAGTAGATGTAAGATCATAAAATTCACGAAACACTTTGCGATTTACTACCATCTATTAAATTATAATACTGTGTAATTAATTGATCAATGACTTACTTCATTATCTTTGTCAGAATCCTTGATATGCTGTGCGATAAACCTCACTCCTTCCAGGGCCTGGAGAACTCCAGCGGACATGTTCCTCGGGATCATATTTTCTCTTTCTGCAGCTGAAACATAAAGCAATAGAATACACCTTTACTAAATTGTTTTTAACTTTTACTAAATAAAGTTCTATAATATATTAAGCAATTACACCAAATCCCGTATCAAGTAGATTCTGGCTTTATAAAGAAAGTTTTCAGTAAAATATATATAGATCTGAGATTGTTAAAAATCGTACCAATCGTTTTCCATTGAACATGCGCGACTATGGTTCACTGAAATTGTCGAAGAGAAGACCTAGATACTCGTGGTGATCGAAACAGAAAGTTCGAATATTAGGATAGGCCAAAATAGTATGTTTAAGATCGTGGAGTGTGTTGCAGGCTATATACAGAAGGATTTCATCCAGTGTGTAAAATGAGAAGAATACATGGGGGTAAGGAATAAATTCTTAGTTTGCCAGCGTTTCGGTCTACGTTGGATCTCTTCTTCGAGCATATGAAGACAACGAAAAAATAATGCCACACATTAAAGGATAATTATTCCTTCCTATGTGTTTGATTTCTAATTCCACATCCAGCAGTCATCTCATTGTTTTCATAAGCAGTAGATTATATCTCAATCATAATGAGTGATTAAGATAATGATCATCTAATGAGGAATGTCCGTGTTGAGCATATGTGATATGTTTTTTTTTCATTGTTTCTACATTACAGACCATGTGTATTTTTGCCGCATTTACAAGCCTACTCCATCTCTGCCTATCTTGGCCTATTCTATCTATCCATCTGCTTTTTGGCCTTCCACGTGGTCTTCCGTCTTCTATTGAGGCATTCATTGCCACGTAGAAGCTTCCAGATAGATTGCTAAGAGTTAAATGCCCCTCCCATCTTAACCTCCGTGCCTTCATATCATGGGATATTGATTGAACAGTTTCTGTAAGCAGTTCTTTATTGGTTTTAATATGTATTAGTACTCATATCCCAGATAGCTCCGGTTATCGTGCGGAGGAGTTTTCTCTCAAATCTTTCAATACTTTTTTCTAGGACGCTGCTTAGTATCCAGTTCTTCATATTTTATTTATACAGCCATATTTTAGAACGGACCATATGTCATGTGATATGTTATAACTAAGGAAAAAGTTAACTTTTGTTCTTGGTAAACATCAGCGTACTTTACCATTGTTTCTACTTATTAATAACAGTTGAAAAAGAATCGACATTTAATTGACAGGCAATTTATGAATTCCTAATTTATTCTTGAATATTGGATTATAACAATAACAATTCAGAAAGAGCCGAATTTGTCCATATTTGCGGATGATTCCATGATACATACTTGCTAAGGTAATTAGCGTTAAAGAAAACTGGTGGGGACGGAGCTACGTCACGAAAATGAAGACACGGCTACGTCATGACCTGTCAGCACCTAGCTCGTAGCGTTGGATATTTATGCTTTTTAGTTTAGAATAGTGTTTCTAGCTTTAAAACTTTCATCAAAAAAATATCATTCCATTTTTTCCCTCATCCTATCTCTCTTATAACCCCGGAGCCAGAGCCCAAAAATCGATCTCATCGCAGGCGAAGTAAATTACGAAAGAGCATGTTATTCTAAGTGAAAAGAACCTTGTCTGCTGTTACCGAGCCGCTGCTTTAAAAAAATCACGGTTCGAGATATATAATTGGCCTAAAATAAAAATGTCAGTACTCACTGGACGCAAAATTTGATGCTCTACAACTATTATTCTATGTGTGTTTCCTCTAACCAATCTAATTTCCAAGTTGCAGGACCATTTATAGTAATTTGCATCAGTTTTTGGCAAATTTAATAAAAATCAGGTTTGGTTGACCGTGGTGTTTTAGCTTATCACATGAACAAATTATAAAGTTTATGTACTCGTTCGACGCAAAATTTAACGTTTTTTAATTTATTAAAGAATAAATTATTCGCTTTGATGTATCGCGTAGGCGTTAAGGGTGAAAAAACAAACAAATATTGAAAAAATCTGACTTCTTGGCTGTAAATAGTTTTCCCTTGGTGGTCCGCGTTAGCAATTTTGTTTTTCGCATATCTAAACCATATATAAATAATAATAATAAAAGGCTTAGCTAACCCGAAGGTTCGATGCCGACACCACCAATCGCTTATTACACACCTCCCTCCACCGTTCGCCGTCCAAACCCAATCCCTTCAGATCGGCTTTAATGTAATCTTACCACCTTCGCTTCGGTCTACCCCTCGGACTCTTACCATTTGGCACAGCAAATATTAACCTTTTAGTAATTCTCTCGTTACTAAGCTCAACAACTTTACAAGCCCATTTGATTCGCCGCGATGATATTACCTCAATTATATTACCCGGATACAGATCACGCAATTCGGCGTTGTGTAACCTTCTGAACTCTCCGGTAAAAAAAACATATATAAAAGTTAAAAAAATAAAAACTTTTCTCACATTTTTTCGTAATAGATTTCCCGTTTCGATCCTCAAATTATTATATTCATAATAACCCTAATATTCTTTAAATCAGCCGCCATTTTTTAAAGCAGCATCTCTGGAACGACAGAAAAGGTTATTTTTACTCAGAATACACTTTCGTAATTTACAATCACCTCTTCGCCTGCGATCAGGTTGATTTTTGGGCCCTGGCTGTTAGCTTTTATAAATGTATATCAATAAATTGTAGCTGAGAGACAATATAATAATATAATATAATTATAAATTATAATAAGGGACAATATTCTGTTTTGCAGCCGAATACGTCACACTACAATGGACATGGAACACACCCTCAGTCCCCACCACACCTCAACTACACACAAATATTTAAGAAGTGCAATCTCTATCGAATATCGTTCTTTATCACATGTACCCAATGGGATTATCTTTATAGTTTTAATAATCAGTATCGTGACTGATTTATATATATTTATATAATACACCAAGTGATGGCGAGCTTAATATTATACGAACATCACCAGGGCATTATATATAAAGATATACAGAGGAAATCAGTGACGTTGGTATGAATAGAGTGAAAAAAAGCTGGGTGCACGCTCCGCCGAGAATATTAGATCAGCCAGAAGAAATCCTTCTCCCTGATGGAGACGATCCTTCCTTTACGAGAAGACATTGGAGAAGGATGGCCCAGTGATTCGACGGACTCCAATAAGGACGACCTTAAGGAGAGCTCGCCTAGGATAAAGTATGTTTCCTTTCTCCGCCGATTTATCTCACTTTACGAACCTTTCCGTCTTCTCTCATCGTATACGATTCGGAAGGCCGAGTAAAAACGCGACGTTACTTTTAAAAAAAATATCTAATAAAATAATTCTACAAGAAAAATATTTCTGGTATATATCAAACAAGACTAATGATTTTAAAAAAATGGATAATTGCAAGATTACAGATCATTGCAAGTAATCAATTTTCAAAGAATAATGACTGAATAGAAACTACTTTTTTTTCTGTTAAGGTCTTGGCGATGCAGGAAGAACAGGAGAAAGCTTTGTCGTAGTCGTAAATTAAACCGACATGAGTTTTAGTTGTCCTGTAACAGTTATATAACGATTTTTTAAGCGAATGGCTGGATCGATTTTTAAGTTTGATGATTCAAATTTTTGTGTATTCAAATGTGACATCACTTGAATTTATTGTGACAATATGAGCTAAAATACCGTTCTTAATTGTATAAAATATTTTTAATCTGTTCGATAAAAGATATGCAACGTTTTTTTGAGCGAACGGCTAGATCGATTTTTTAAGTTCTATATCAAATTATTCTGTGAGATCCCCTCAGTGTTTTGGAACGATTCGATCTAAAGACACTGACCTTGTATTGGATAAAATGTGGTTTTTTAATCACTTTGCTAAAAGATGTGTAACGATTTTTTGAGCGAACGGCTGAATCGATTTTTAAGTTCTGTAACTTAAATTATTCGGGGAGATCCTCTGAGTGTTTTGGAACGATTCGATCTAAAGACACTGACCTCGTATTGAATAAAATGTGTTTGTTAATCAATTTGCTAAAAAATGTGTAACGATTTTTTGAGCGAACGGTTGAATCGATTTTTAAGTTCGATATCTTAAAGTATTCTGTGAGATCCCCTGAGAGTTTTGGAACGATTCGATCAAACGTATTAAAACGTATTTAACGATTTTTTGAGCGTACGGCTGAATCTATTTTTTAACACTTTGTCAAAAATCTATTCATTTTTTTAGAGATTATTATAAAATTTATATCTACATTTTATGTTCTCTACTTTAAATTTTCCAACTCCCGACTTAATGTTGTATATTATTCAAAAAGGTTCCTCATCATTTAGCCTGGTATTATTATCCTTTGCTCCTATTATCTGGTTTTAGAAAAATTGCAGAGTGTAATGGAATTTATCACCGATCTTTATGCCCATTCCCATACAGCTAATTAATTTGAATTTTATATTTGTATTTGTAATCCACTTGGCGTTGAATTCAATAACCTTAAACATTTCTAACTAAAAGTCTTATTATGGATGATAAATATTCAGGACGCAGTGTTTTAAAAAAAAAAATTAGTGCTCGAACCACGCTCTGAAGATGACCCACATATTTGGATTTAATGTTGGCACAAGTCGTAAGTGTCATGGCCGAAACTGAGGTTCTATATTCGTATCGTTCCGTCTTTGCTAGTTTGTTATGTGCTTATTATCTCAAATCCTGTTCTCAGACTTTGTAAACAGTGAGTTTATAAACAATTTAACATTTTTACATTACAATCAGTGAGGTGAGTGACTTTTATTAACAATTAGCAACATTAAATTGGTACTCGATTGCTAGAGACAGTTTACGTGGCAGATAATTCCCCTCAGCGGGTCTTATCTTTCAAATTCAAGGTCACGGCGCTTTATTTTACGTTCAGAATATCTTGAGTTCGTACCTAAGACAGTATATATATTTTTTTTTTCTCTGTTTTTATTTCTTAATTGATTATTTTATTTTAATATTTTTTTTCTACTGAGACTCTATTTTATTTATTTATAAAAATGTTTTTTTTAATATTTGTATATATATTTGTAAATAGAT